ACACTTGTTGATGAAATACAAAAGAAAAAAATGAGGTATGCGTATAATGTATATAAATACATATGTATGAATGTACGTACATACGATTTCATTATTTTCAAAATACAATTTGAGGAAAAAATCCCCCATATGTGATGGTTTAAACGACTATGTTATACACTATATAACTATATTGGGGAAAAATATCGTAAAAATATTTCCAAAAGACTCCATTGATTAAAAAAAATCTATGTCGATTTAGAAATGTCCGTCAGTCTGCCCGTCTGTTGAAATCACGATAGAGCTCGAAATATTGAAATATGGATTTTTGGTATTGATTTTTGGATAATGATATATTAGTGCACGTTTTGGTATAGCCCCATATACTGCTATCCCCTGAACTTAAACACATTTTTATTTGTTCTGTAAACAATGTGGTGTTAGATTCCTTCGAAGAATTCTTACTTTTAAAAATATTGTTTTTTTTTGCTGACAAAAACCCAACCACCCCACATATCCTGATGTAGCGCACACCAAAGAAAGTAAAACGTGTACGAATTGAAATGAAATTGAACCAACAAAGCAAAATGATTTCTTTATCGCTGTTGTGTTTCCTCCCAACCTCTCAAATGATATTAGCTAGCGCCAATCTCGAGACCAAAATGAACTGGTCTGGTTGCTGGTCCGATCGCGATCGATTGATGGTAAATTTGATCATTGGACATTGTTGCTTTCAATTAATTTGAGTTTTGTTACCATTATTATCGTTGCTTCTTCTTATTGTGGTTATTACCAATTTCGATATATCCGAACAAAGTCAATGGAAAAACAAACAGGTTCGTTAATTTTCTCTGATTACATTTTGTGTTAACTGATCTTGAATGTTTCAATAGCTGGCCAGCCAGCACTGACGATGATGACGCTATGGTGTGGGGAGATTAAAAAAATTGACAGCATGCAAGAAAATACCGAATAAACAAAAGAAATAATTTGCACTTCTATTTTTAAATGTTTGCGAATCAAAAAATTCCTTTGGGACCAATTGGTAGCAAACTTTAAACTGATATCGTTATATTCGTTTTTTTTTTCAAGGTTGTTTGTTGTGGGTGAACGGACGATATTTTTGTTCGGTTTAATGTGTTGAATGGGGTCTAAAGTACGTAATTTGCTTATTCAAAAAGAGAAATTTCAAATTTCTTTGACAAATACAATTTTCATCTTCCGGAAATTACCATTATATATATTTTTGGAATTGTGTTATATTGGTTTTGGCTAAAATATAGTCACTTCGATAGTAAATTCGATGTGCCTAGGACCATTAAAAGAACTTTATATGGGATCTATATCCAAAGATCGACGATGATTTGCTGTCACCCAATGAGAACTCAAATAAATAAAAAATGTCTAGTTTCACAAGTGGTGATAACATCCACACTGAGGTCACCATCACGCTCCGAATTTCATGGAGCGAACCGGCATTCCCACAGAGGGTCAATGTTGCAAATTGTGTTCTCAAGAAAGTTCGAGGACTCTGTAGTTTTACAATTAACAACTCTGACCCTTTTGTACAAGGTGATCTGACAGAAGAAGGTTCTAACGAACAATTTCGTCGTTCAACAAAGGGTCCTTCATGTATCTATCGACTAGCAACTACACATTTTTAAAATGTTATTCAAAACATTTCAATTGCAATTCGACAATTTCATTTGTGATTCGAAAACTCTAAATCCAATTCATAATTCGAGAATTTACTTGGTAATTAACAACATTTCATTTGTAATTTTAAACCAGTAAGGAAAGTAGTAAAGTCGGACGGGGCCGACTATATGATACCCTTCACCACTTTGAGCATATTCAACAGATGAAATAGAAGCTATATCTAAATCTGAACCGATTTCAACGATTTCAGGAAACTTAACACACATCATTCCAGACCTCATCCATAACGCAGTGCCAAATTTCGTGCAAATCGAAAGATATATAGGGACTTTGGTAGACCATTTACATTAAATCGGACGAAAATATATATAGGAGCTATATCTAAATCTGAACCGATTTTCAGGAAACTTAACACACACCATTCTATAACTAATTCATTACGCTGTGCCAACTTTGGTGCAAATCGAAAGATATATAGGGACATTGGTGCACCATTCAGATTAAATCGGATGAAAATATATATGGGAGCTATATCTAAATCTGGACCGATTTTCAGGAAACTTAACACACACCATTATATTCCTAATTGATTACGATGTGCCAACTTTCGTGCAAATCGAAAGATATATAGGGACTTTGGTGCACAATTTAAATTAAATCGGACGAAAATATATATGGGAGCTATATCTAAATCTGAACCGATTTTCACGAAACTCAGCACACACCATTATGGACCTAATTCAGTACACTATGCCAAATTTCGTGCAAATCGAATGATATATAGGTACTTTGGTCCCTATATCGGGCGAAAATATATATGGGAGCTATATCTAAATCTGACCCGATTTTCACGAAACTCAGCACACATCATTTTGGACCTCATTCAGTACGCTATGCCAAATTTCGTGCAAATCGAATGATATATAGGTACTTTGGTGCCTATATCGGGTGAAAATATATATGGGAGCTATATCTAAATCTGAACCGATTTTTCCCAATTTCAATAGGGTTCGTCCTTGGGCCAAATAAGTGACCTATGCCAAATTTCATCCAAATCGGATCATAAATGCGACCTGTACTTTGTTCACAAAAATACATGGACGGACAGACGGACGGACAGACGGACATGCGTAAATCGACTCAGAAAGTGATTCTATGCATATTCTCAAAAGGAACCATGTGCCTATCTCGTTTCTTTTTGCCTGTTACAAACATATGCACAAAGACATAATACCCTGTACCACAGTGTGGTGAAGGGTATAAAAATTCATACGAAATTCTGCTTGAGACCATTATCGCTCTTGGCAGTATTCTCTATAGACGTGACCGACACGTGCAAAGTTGTTTTCCGTACATTTAGCGATTGCGTGGGTCTGTTTGAAAAAGGACTTCATTCTCTTCATAGTTACTGCTGTTGCGAGCAATTCTTGCTACGCATTCGCCACTTTTGCAACAACTAATCTATTGTCATAACCTTGGATTTGGGGTTTGACAATTCTGCAGCATGCCGATTTATAGGCTTGTTTATTTGCTCAGGGGCCTCTCCGCGGGCTCACTTTGTCTCCTTCGCAGCGAAGGATGGTGTCAAGGACTTCTCAACTCTCAGTGATTCCTTAGAGGGTGCTGAATGAGTCACCACCAACATCGTTCCCGTACTGCCCAGACTACACGCAGTTTTCTCCTCCTTGGGAGGAGCGACTGTGGTCGTCTTCACACGAGACGAATTGAATTTCCTCTTAAAAGGAATTCCTTGTCGGTAATATAATACCAATCCCTTTCGATAAATCGGTTGCAGAAGTTATCTGATTTCTGGGAAAACTTCTTTGTCAGAGATTTCATTGACACTGAGTTTAGTAGTTTCTTGTGCTGATTCATCTATAGTTCCGATGAGAAGGTCTCTACTTCAACGGCCTGTTGCCACTCAAGTCTCAAAACTTCGCTACATGTCGTAATTATAGAGATGGGATCTTCATCCTCGCCAGGGATTGGATCCTTTATCATCATACTGGAAGACTTAACTTGATTTGAGAAGTCACTAGGATATCCATTCATTTTTTAAAAAAAAGGAAAGAGCTTTTCAAAATTCGCTCCATAGAAAGTTTTTGAAGTGAGGACTAATGTCAACCATGGCATAGAATCTTACCATGGTAAAGATTTGGCAGCTAAGACTGAAAAACGTATTGAGGAGCACAGGTATCAACAAGGCTGCGTTCGAATAAGGTAGGCACTCTGATTGCAAATCATAAACACTGACTACACGAGCTCGCCCAACACACCCCAGCGTTAGGGAGGCCACTTAAGGAAGAACTGACCTAAGATAAGTGGATATAAAGGGGCGCCATTCTCGACTTATTATTTACATTAACAGCTTCCCAATTAATAGTATTGGGCTTTCTACTATACGCAACCTGTGAACCCATCCGTTGATATGCAGCTCTGTTTCCGGTTAGGCGGAGCAGGCAATAATTATGATGTTTTAAGCGCTGATGTTACAACAACAAAGTTTAGTAAGGAGAATTCCATTGTATCATCGGCAATGTATGTTTTTTGGTCGTATACCCTCGCTATATGCATCCTATATTATTTTTTGACTGCTATAAGACATCTCTTTCCGTAAGTGCCTCAAAATTCCTTTTCCATGCCAAACGGGTCCGACGACACTCAAATCTGGTTGGGAATGATGACAATTTTACGCTCATTCACAAATATGATATCTGTTTCGCTTAAGTTGTTACCAAAAGACTGACATTTCTATATTGGTGACACCACAATTTGATTGCGAAGGATACCTTGGGTTTAAAAACAATATTTCAATGAGGCACATTAGCCTTGCCGTTTATAATAATGTACTAATTTCGGAATTTACTTAATAAAAATTAAAAAAATAAATATAATTCATATGGTTTGGAATCTAAAACTTAATTTCTCCAACTGCCCCAAGGAGTATTACTCTCATACTATCATAAGTTTGGGATTTGGCAACTTTTGCATGATATAATTTTTTCATTTTTTTATTTTTGTAAAAATGAATTTTGAATCCGCTTCTTACCTATTGAGAATCAAAGCAGTCTATTTCAGAATGTGAAATATTACCTAATTATTCCTTACATAAATAATTAAAAAATGTTAAAGTATGTATAATAATTAAGTAGAAAAGGATATATATTCCTAAACTCTGATGAATGTTCAATAAGTGAAATGAAAATATTACCCAGATCAATGGATGACTACTTTCATTCAAATTAATAACTAATTTATATTTAAATGTATATTTAGTCTCTAAAAATATATAAAAGTCATCATAACCACTCCTAGTAACACAAAATTAATATACAATTTTTTCATTATCTTTTGTTTTCCAGATATTCCTATTGCTTTTAATAGTTTTATATTTTGCATCGTACGTGTTAATTTCACGGTTCAGACGTAAAGATCGTGATGATCTATTTTCCAATGATGACGATGAATTACTGGTGTATCGAATAAGGTAGCAACAATGTTCTTTTCCAATTGGTATTATTTTTTTTCTAATTTAACAATTTCTTCTTCAATTTTTTTTATTATTTCCTATATATGAATCTCATCATCCCGACCATTAAACAACAGTTCATGGCTTTGTACATTTTCAATGGCAATTGCGGTTGGTGCGGCTCTTTTACTGCCCGTTTCAATTGCCAGCAATGAAGTATTGTTACTCTATCCGAACAGTTACTACGTCAAGTGGCTAAACAGTTCATTGATCCAAGGTGAGTTATGCCGCTGTTGTGGTGTTCTTGATTGAAAATCAACGACCGTTGCAATCAAATGCTGTGCTTGATTTGAAATCTATGTAATGTTTTTGCTGTTGTTTTCTTGTTCATTCAATCATTGCAGGTCTTTGGAATCATGTTTTTCTATTCTCCAATTTGGCATTATTTGTTTTCCTACCGTTTGCCTATCTATTCACTGAATCGACAGGCTTTTCTGGCCACAAAAAGGGTATCATTGCACGAGCCTATGAAACATTTACAGTATTTAGCCTGTTGGCATTTGTTGTATTGGGCCTGACCTATGTGCTGTCAGCCGTAATGGATCCAGAAAAAATTGGATTTCTCTCATTGTTCAGTAAGTATGACTATTCGATGGTTGGTTGCATTGCAACGGAAATTGTTTTATTTTTTCGTTTTTTGGTGTGGTTATATTCATTTAACCAAACAATTGCAGTTTCCATGTTGGGTGCAGCCACATAGTTTTGTGTGTTCTTTTGTTTTATTTTTTGAATACCACATTGATTAACCGGTGTCTCTTATTTTTCTCTTACAGATTTGGGCAGTGTTCATTTGCCATTTTTATATTCATGCGTATCGTTTTTGGGTGTGCTACTACTTCTCCGTAAGTTGACAATATTTTTTTTGTTTTATTTTCGCATATTCTGTTTTGTTTTAATAACTTGACTAATTACATTTGCCACTGTGACATTATCACAATGCATTTCCTTTAATCAAAATGTATTATCGTAAATATTCAGTCTAACACAATACCCCCAAAAATAAATGTGTTTGTTGATATAAAATTTAATTATACCATTCAAGGGGGTATTTGTTTTTATCAGATAGATTTTATTGCTTTGTTAGTGATAGTAAGTAAATTAATAATTGTACTTAGAAATAAAATGGGAGTAAAGTTCGACTGAACTTTTTTCAAATGAAACTTTTGGCCAAACATTATTTTTGAATGCCCAACAACTAGAGGATGCAGATCTTACAATTCAATGTTATCGATAATTTATTATTTCCACATTGGCTAATAATAGACTGAATATATTTGTATATACGTGAAACTTCTATTTGTCACGGGAGCGGGAGCCAGTATCGAAAAGAACGCTGGACCCTGTTTCTGTAGGGTTTGAGAGTCGTATCCACCACAGATCTATATCGGTGAGATACAATATATGAATTTTTGATCTTATTCCTGATTAACGGAGCATACGTCATCAGAATATGACGTACTTTCCTGAACGCCATACTTTCCTGAACTTTCCTGAGAATGTTTAACGTTAGAACCTTCGTCTTTTGAACCCTGAAGACCGAAGGGTGAGAGAAATTCCTCTTGAAGCCAGAAGGCTATGGTATGCGAGCATAAAAGGAAAACGTGGCTGGATCACCTGATGCTATGCAACATTTTGACCGGAACAAGTAAATTGTGGGTCCCTGTTAAGTCACGTTCGAACCCTGGAATGAAGAACGCGTATTATTTAAACCGGCAGTTTAAAGAGCACGTCAAGAGTAGTAGGCGGTGAGGAGTATGCTTCGTGGCAAATAAGTCCTCCCAACCGAGGTGTTTCACTAAAATTTACGAAGGAAGTTGTTGCAGATGTTATAAAAATTCTTGGCCTATCAAGAGCCATGGCCAAGCTATTGGAGAATACCAACACCACCAAATCCACAGGTCAACCGAAATGAAGCTCCCGCCATAATGACCGATGGAGAACAGATTCCGACCATTGATGCCCCAAGATATTGGGTTAATTCGCCAATTTTTGATAAGATAAGAAGTAGGAATAAGTTTCGGTAGACGAGGCCGGCAGCTTTTGTTCACTGACAAGGAGACTTTTGACCTCTTATAAAGTGTTGTTTCCGAATGTGGGAGATTTAGTGTGGAAGAAGGTTCAGACTTCAGAATGCCGCACAGAGAACTACAAGTTCTTACGACTCTTGTGGATCATGACTTGTCGAAGATCATACTCGTCCGTCGATACAACCAAATATTGTCTATGCAGTACCTTCTTGGGCGTCATTATCGGCAATACAAAGGCATTGGATAACAATTCCCTTCTTGTATTTATTCAGATCTTCTATAGAGGGTAGAGGGTTGTCGTCTTTAGGGATTTCATAAATTTAATTTAAATTTATCAGAAAGAGATACCATCGAATTAGTATCCACATTGAATTGACTCTCGGCTGTCTACTGACTAGAGTCTTTCTTTACCGTTGTATCTCAGATGTTGGCTGGGATGCTTTCCTGGTGCATCGTTCAACCATATTAAACTTTCACTTAAAGTAAAAGAATCGTCCTCACCGGAGAGGAGAGTGTTTGTGATAGTGTCTAGATGCCCCCAAAAGGATGTGGCGGGCTTGACACTGTTCGCCAGGCATAACCATAGTGGCACAAGGACTGAACAAGTATTTAACCTGGCAACCTGTAATTTCCCTCAGATCACACATAATTGCTTCCATTAATAGGCCAACGCTATACTTTCCTGAGGCATAGAATTACAATCATAACCATCATAAGGACTTGAAAACCAAGTTCTAAATTTTTTAGGCGAATGTATATCAGTAAGACTCTGCTCAGTGCTTTGAGAATTCTGAAGTAACTTTGATATAGTTTCGTTGTAAATGATAGCATTATATTCGCTTTTGAACATGTTTAGTAAAATTACTTAACTTGTCGTGAAATTAAATACAGCAAATCAATGTCTGTTATATTTCTTTATTTATATAGATTCCATTTTAAATTTCTCCAAAAAGTCATCAATAAATTCACCCTTCTTCGGATTATTTTTTCTGGCCAATTTAATGCTAGTTTCGAAATTCTTTTCATCGCCCAAACGTTTATAAGCAGCAGCACGATATAACCAGCTGCGTATATTCTTCTCCTCCAGTTTATTTAAAACATAATCACAATCCATTATGCCACGTTTATAGTTTTTCAATCTACACAAAAATATGAAATAATTTGAGTCTCGAAAGTAGAGAATCTAATCTGGAATGTTATACTTACTTCATATAGGCTAATGCACGATTATTATATAAAATAGGACTATCTCGTATATGATCCATTGCCTTCGTGTACATATTAATGGCCTTTTCATAATTTTGTTTACGAAATGCTTCATTACCCAAACTGAAGGTGAATAGATTTTTTGTGTATTCAAATTTTCGAATTTCCTTTCAAAACTTACGTTCTAAAATGTTGTGCTATTCGTTCACGTTCTCTACGAGCCTTGGCCCTCTCATCTGCATCCTTTTCAAATTGTTGCATAAATGTAAATTTATCCATAACACTGGGACCGCCTTCCTTCTTCTCATCTTCTGTATCATCGTTTTCCAGAGCATTGCGATTTAAAACGGTACGACTTTCCTTAACCGTTACAATGAAATTATTTTCATCTATTTCATCGTAAATATTCTTAGGCCTATAAAAATGGGATATCATTAAAATTTTAATAAAATAAAAGTTTTAAAAATAGATTTCTACTTACGCCGCCTTCTTGGAAGGACTACCGCTGTCATCATCTTTCTTATTGGCATTATTGATGTCTTCCAATAATTTCATCACTTGATTGACCTTTGATTCAAATTCCAAAAAATCTTCATCAAATCCTGGTGGGTTATTCATGGTGTTTGGGTTTTCATTTGGTTTTTCTGAAGGAGATTGTTTTTCGAAAAGTGTCTGCTTTTTATTGAAACGTATTTTTGGGGTTTAAATAATTTTTTGTTTATAGGAAAAGCAAGGTAATAAGCTGTTGTTGTTATTTATGTAAGAGTTGCCATAGTTACTATTTTAGTAACGCTTGTAAGGAATGTTCTGGAATTTTTTAAATAAAGGGGACTGTTAAAAAAGTTTGTGTACAAATAAATTTATCGGGATATATTAATCATTTTTTAAAATGGTTGTATCTTATATACAAATTAACCTAATTAAATATTTATTATTTATTTTATTTTTTTTTTTTTGTTTTTTAGTTTGCACCCCATTTGGTTTTGTACGACTCTTCGGTGTGGTGGGTCAAGTTTTGGTCAAACCTCACCTTTTACGCGACGTCAATGAGGAATATATTGCATTTCATATGGAAGAGGCTAGCGTTAAACGAAAATTAGCCAATTTAGAATTGCAAAATGTTAGCATCAATGAATCTCTAAACAGCAACGGCAATGGTAGCTATACAACGACAGCAACAACAACATCATCATCATCGTCCTACAGCAGCAGCTACCTTCGAGGAAGCTATGATATGCCAAATGGCAATTATCTTGCCGGCACCATAACATTTAGTGGCGGTGGCAATTATTTAAATTCCTCCAATCACCACCACCACCACACATCCAACAATCATCATGAATTTCGTAGCAATAATTTTAGTAATTACTTCAATCATGTTAGCCATAGAACAACACCATCGTTGTCACATCTGATCCAAAGAAAACCCCTGAATGGCGAAAGTCATGATAATCTAGCTAAGCTCAATGAAAGACTGAGAGAATTGGAGTCTGAACGTAAAGAATTGAATAAATTGCGAAAATCATCGGCATTTCAGAGAAATTTTGTCTATCCTCTGGCTATGTTGCTGTTATTGTTTTTCACCGGCATAACTGTGTTGTTGGTGGTGCAGAATACGCTGGAATTGTTGATTGGTATTAAGGCATTGCCGCTTAGTACGAGGGTAAGTTTAAATGGAATTTTTTGTAGTATGCGTGGGAAGGTATTTAATTAATGTGTGTTTCTTTTGGTTTTCTCCTCCTTTTTCTTTGTCTTGTGCAGCAATTTACATTGGGTATTTCATCGTTATCCAAACTGGGGCCAATTGGAGCTGGTCTCGAAGTGTGTCTCATATTTTATTTGGGAGCCACTTCAGCTGTAGGTTTCTATACCATGCCATTTATGCGTAATGTCCGACCACAACGGCGTAAAACATCACTATCACAATTGATACTCAATTGTGCATTAGTGTTGATTTTAAGCTCTGCCCTGCCATTGCTTAGCCGTATTATTGGTAAGTTTTAAAAATGTATAAATAAGTATAATTTTAATTTTTTATACCTTTATAAATAAGGAAAAATTTTGTGGGGCTTATATGGTAAATGTATATTAGATATAAATACGTAGAGCAGATGTGAGTGCTCATAGTAAGAGTTGGTCGATCTTAACAGAGTCCATCTTTCTGCTTTAGTCTGAAAGAAACGAAGATAATACTTAATCTAGAAAAGAATCGACATACTGTATGACCTTTTTAAGTTCGTCATTTAAGTCCATTATCGGAAGTCTAGACCCATCGGTGTTGACCGATGAATATCTTTTTGATGTTTCTGGGAGTTAAGGGTTAACATTTTCACCAATTGACTGCAAAACACTATTTGATCGATGGTAGGTAGCAGGACCCTTGAACGGTTCAACTAACTTTACCTCCTCCTCCAGTACCGGAATTTATACTTATCGGTTTTTGTGATAAAATCCTCCTACCACATCCCTCGATTTTGAAATTGACAATCGATCTACCACTTAGTGGGAGTTGCGGTGTCTAGAGTGTTTGTAGATGGGCTGAGAATCATGGACGCCACGATATTTCAAATGAAATGAATTGTCTGCAATAAATTCCCATCATGGCGAACTGGCAAGGGCGAAGTCTGTACCTCCTTAAGACTCCGCTGCATCTGTTTGTTTCTACGACGAGTGTGACGGAAATTAATACGACCCAACCTCCTCAAAACTGCTCCTCAACAACTACACATATGATCCTCCGCATACGATATAGGCCCAAGAGAGGAGAAGGGAACCATACAGAGGCTACCATACAACACGGCATCTCATTCACGGGAACAGCCACGAGTTTTCCAACCTTCCGAAGGAATTCAAGGCCATTTACTGCCTTAATAAGGTAGTCGCCGTTGTATTGGTCCACTAAACTGCAACCGATCATGATCAACCACGCGTGTTATGATGAATAGCAAGATGTCCCTAACTCCATATCCATATACACGGTCTGTAGTGAAGTCTCGAGACTTCTGATTTAGTTGGCCGTCGAATTGGATACAGGTACTGATGAGCTCCCCATCGTAAAGATGGATGAACCGTAAACCACTAAACGAGCCAACGCCAACGAGATCTCTGACAACAAGATTTACCGGAGAACGGTTGATTACTGCAATCGGTTTATCGGACTCGATAACGGATAAAAAGTTCCTTCTAATTAAGAGGAACCACAAATTCATCTGGAAGTTCTCCAGGAACTATCCGAATGTTATTGAGAGGAACATTTTAATTGATAGAATTCCTACAACAGTGTTGCTCAGCCCTTTACGTTTTCGTAAAAACAAACCACACGTATTCTCTCTCAATTTATATTTTAGGCGGGAGAGTATATTACAAATACCAATGCAAGTAATATGAGCATCACTGTCGTACATCAAGTGCGAAGTCCACTACGGTAGCCCCTTCAAAAGAGGAGAAGGCTGTGAGTGGCCCAAACACAACTAGGAGAATGGTTTGGATTTTGTGGTGTCATGTTGGGGTCTTGCTAAACATACGCTGACCTGTCTGCAAATCATTAAACGCTGATAGGCATGAAGTCGCGTAAAAGTCCAGTGTTAGGGAATCATACTTCAAAGTAGGCCACCAGGAACCCATACGAATGATTAATTTAGAGGAGCCAAAAGCAATCTCATCAGCCTAAGAATCATAGGCACTCGGTCATTTCCTCCTAGACTCTCCCCCTTTAGACTTCTAATGCCGAGATGTCGGAATTCCCGATCAAAAAGTCAAACAATAATGGGAATAGTTGCTGAAAACATTCTTTTTAAATTAAAATTAATATCAGATAATTTCTTATTAAAGATATATCGGGCTTCGTTCGTTGGATTTAAAAACGATCCAAAAGCGTCAGTGGCTGGGTAACCGAACCAGCAACAGTCGAATAGGGATTTGTTTATGTCGTACGTAAATCCAAATGTCGACCATCTCATGTATTCTTAGCCTTCAAGGAAAGGACTTGCTACAAAGCCTAAGAAATTGTTGTATGTTTGATATGTCTAGCTCCTCTGGGTTAGGATTTCCTTTCAGCAGCTTAGCATTTAGATCTATTGTAATCGACATGTAGTTGCATTGTGTGATAAATATTGTATTTATTATAATTTTTACCATAGGAGGTCCAATAGATATATATTTTGAGCTATTTCCATAAATTAATTTTTACCCAAAATTTAAACTAATTTTTTAATCCATTATTTTCCTCCCTCTCTCTCTTTCTTTCTTACAGGCATCACAAATTTCGATTTGTTGGGTGATTTTGGTGCCATCGAATGGTTGGGAAATTTCCAAATTGTACTATTGTATAATCTAGTATTTGGCACTACAACGGCCCTAGTGGTGGCTAATAAGTTTACAGCCACCGTGAGACAAGAATTGTGTGCGCGGTTAGTAGAAAACTATGTAATTTTCACAAATTACATGTCATTCATCAACTGATACTTACTAAAACGGCGCACTAAAATCATTCCAAAAATGCCAATGACTGCAGCAGCGGCAGCAAGTCATCATCATTATCATCATCAGCATCCGTCTTTTCATCAGCAAATTCATATGCATCCCAATCATGGCTCAGCAATAATAGACGCTGGTAATAATAGTAGTAAAATTGCATTACATTCGATATCATCAGCATCCTCATCTGTCACCGCCGCCACCGGCTCCACCACATCACTTGCCTTAGTCCAATGGAGACATGTGGTGGAACAACATTTAAATGGGAATGGTTTTCTTGTGTCGTTTTTAAGAAAATTTGCCAATTTTTATGCGCGACATTTAAAGGTCGAAACTTAGTTGTTTAGGATTCCATCGATATGTGTAACTTTTCCTAATCCATAATAAATATTCTATATAAACAACATTTACAATTATATAACATAACAACTAATACAAACTATCTTTATACATCATATACGGCATTAAATATTCTCTCTGCTGCATTGTTCCTATACTAAGAAAATTTTCGTATAAACAAATAAAATTGTCATTATTTCTTTCATTGTATTTTAAATTAGAAAAAGAAACAAAAAACAAATATAAAATTTAATAGAATTGTATGATAACAATTAACAAAATTTAGTAACAAATTATAAATAATAATAATCACTCTATATATACTATTTATTTGCAAACGAATTTATCATTTCTTTTTCATTTAAATTCTCATTTACTCTTGCATATGCTGTTGATAATATTATATTTATAACTTCATATATATAAAGGAAACGTATTAAAGTATTAAAGAAAAAAACAAGACAATCGCAAAGACATTAATATTTATTTTAATATTTTCTTTAATGACATTTTTATTTATCCTTAAAAGAATGCTTATTATCGTTAGACAAACAAAAATACGTTCTCTTTCATCGTTGAGGAAAAGTATAAAATTTAAGACATTTCCTCCTTGAATTTTAAATACGTTTGCACCCCCCAAAATTATCCTTTATGTTTTAAGGTACCGCAAGCTTTCAAAATTTCAATCGAAAGAATTTGTGTCCTTTACTTCAAAGCTTTATATATTTTTAATTGATTTTATTATTAGTAGTATAACCCTCTCTATCTAGTTAGTAATTTATCCTAATTAAGAATCGTCATTTAACATAACCATAAATTATAACCTTATATGTGTTCGAAATATAAAACCAATCCATGATAAAAAAATAAACTAAACTATTAATTTAATGTTAACAAAAAATCTGTTGTTTTGACTTCAATCAGATATTTTCAAAATTTCATGAAAACTTGTAGATATATATTTTAAAGAAATTAATGTTCTGGGACGCGTTAGAGTCGATTTTAAATTTACCTCCATGTGCAAAAATAGTGTAGCAGAAACTGAATTAATTTATGTTAATATGGTTCGGTATCAATCTGTAGTTAAGAAATGCGTTTACACTTGGCGGGCAATTAAGTTTCTGGCTCTAGGACGGCATCCACTATTTATTAATTAATGGCTAATTGAACTTTTTCAAAAATAAAGATATTAAAAAACAAAAGCATTAATACAAAATACATTCTGAAATAAATAATAATTTATGGGCAAATTAATTGTTTCAATGTTTGCTCGGACGAACTCGAAGTTTGCAGAAGAACTCTACAATTTTACTTATTTTTATCGTTATAATTAATATGTTTTGTTTTCTGCGCTTATTTCGATTCGTATAGATTATGTTTAAATAGATTTTATTACAATAATATGTGTCTGGTTTTAAATTTTCACTAACTTCCAAAATAAAACCAGTTAGGAAAGTAGTAAAGTCGGATGGGGCCGACTATATGATACCCTTCACCACTATGGGTATATTAAACGGCCATATTTTGGGTCCACGGTGCATTATTCACTTTAAATCGAACGAAAACCTAAATGGGGGCTATATCCAAATCTGAACCGATTTAAACAAAACTTGGCACTTCGGTACGTTGTGCAACATTTTGTGACAATCGGCGTATCTTTGGGTCTTTGGTGCACAATTTACTTAAAAGCGGACGAACTATATATGGGAGCCATATCTAAATCTGAACCGATTCCAACAAAACTTATTCTATATATAATTCAGTACGCTGTGCCAAATTTCGTGCAAATCAAAAGATATAAAAGGACTTTGGTACACTATTTACCTAAAGTCGAACGAAAATATATATAGGAGCTATATCAAAATCTAAACGATCTTCACGAAACATAGCACACACAGCACACAGGGACCATTTACCTTAAATCGGATGAAAATATATATGGGAGCTTTATATAAATCTGAGCCAATTTTCTCGAAACATAACACAAATCATTCTAGACTCAATTCAGTACGCTATGCCAAATTTCGTGCAAATCGAAAGATATATAGGGTATTTGGTGCACCATTTACATTAAATCGGACGACAATGTATATGGGAGCTATATCTAAATCTGAACCGATTTTCACAAAACTTAACACACATCATTATAGTCATATTTCAGTACGCCGTGCAAAATTTCCTGCAAATCGAAAGATATATAGGGACTTTGGTGCAACATTTACCTAAAATCGGACGAAAATATATATGGGAGCTATATCTAAATCTGAACCGATTTCAAGCTTTGCAAAATTTCGCGCAAATCGAAAGATATATAGGGTCTTTGGTGCACAATTTTCATGAAATCTGACGAAAATATGTATGGGAGCTATACCTAAATCTGAACCAATTTTTCCCAATTTCAATAGGGTTTGTCCTTGGGCCAAATAAATGAGCTGTGCCAAATTTCATCCAAGGAACATTCCATGAATAAATCAGTGAGTTCTCGAATTATACGTTGATTTTATATAACTATATCAGCAGTGACAGTTCAGCACAGAGGAAGCCTTCAAAAAAGATTTCTTTAAAAGATCGCTGTTTTTGACGTTAGATGTCTAAAGTGTGGTTTGATTAAACAAACAATAATGAAAAAGTTAATTTCGATATCTGTTTGCATCATCACAAAAAAATTAATTCTCTAGACATATTTCCCTAACGATGTGACTTGTCCTTGTTCATATCAGACAGCTTCCGACGATGTAGATATGCTGCTAAATTTTACCCTGAGAATTTAAGGGTTGTTGCCGACCAGAATTGTGCGTCCATCGACCTGCATATTCAGTGGAATTATTATCGCTACAGTCCTTGTTGTTAATAGTGGAAGTGATATTTTATTATTCTTCACATGGAAGAGGTGCATAGACGACTACATGCAACGACAGAATCTCACATCAATCTTGCGTATATGTAACGATATCAATGCTGGGGAAAGAGGAATGGTGGAGGTCAAACAGCTTCGGAGATATGACCCTTCTGGAGAACACCTTACACCTGCTTCTACAAAAATCTACGGTTACATTTAAAGAAATGTTTGAGCGAATTAGTTTCCTGTTATACATGTCAGTGATTAATTTAATTTTTAAAGATTTTAACATATTTTAGCATGACCGTAAAAAATGCGTTTCATATAATCATTTCATCTTTATTTTGAGCATGCCATAATTTTGCCATTAAATTATTTCCTATGTTTTAATGTTATAGGATTATATGTTTTTATTTGTTTCTCCTTTGTTTTTTATGTTTAATTTCAGATTGAGTGCAATTTTTACGTTGGGATGATATCGAAGATAAGCACAAAAAATAAATATTTATGTTATTATTGTACCAAAAATTTGTTGTAAGAATATATTTATATGTAAGTGAAAACGTAAGAACATATTTATATGTATTTTTATTTAAACTAGAAAAAACATAAATCATTTTATTTATACGAAAAATTAAAAAAGATAAAAACAGATATTAAACGTAGATTTGTAAAATAAATACAAGATAATTATAAAGATTTTAATTGGTGTCTATGCTGAATTTTTGATGTCACTGCAGTATATCGATGAGTAAATATAAAAATTTAGTTACCCATATTTAGAAAAAAATAAAATATTTGTCATCGATTAATTTATAACGTTTATATAGCTTTATTTCTTTTTTTATTATTATATTTCTTTAGTCTTTTTTGTTTGTGGTTTTAACAATCTATTTTGTTTATGTATAAATAATGTTATAAGCCGGTTTGCTTCATCTTATTCATCATCAGTTGCATTGTATTGTTTTTTTCTTTTTTTTTAATTTTACGTTTGAGGATTATTGTGTGTTATGGTTGGTTATGCTAGGTTCTCACAAGCTCTCATTCGTTCATTTCTATTTGTGTTTTTGAAAATTAACAAATGCTTAATAACAAATATTGCGAATTAAGTTATAACAAAAAGTATATGTATGAAGATGGCATAGATTAAAAGTGAAAATTGATATTCATGTGTGAGAGATTTGTATTGTTATAAAAGGTACCTTTTTAAATATTTTTGGTTTGATTCTAGATTCTTTTTACTTTCATAGAGTGAAAAGGGCGGCAGTTAAATATTCTTTATAGTTTTAATATTTTTAGGGAGTTTTATTTCCCCCTTCAAAAAACTGTGACTAGAAAATATATTGTTTGTTTATAGTTATTTTTTTAATTAGTTAGAAGGGTTACAAATGACAAGAGGAGTACAAGATATTATAGATAATTGAATGTTTCTTTGAGGAGAGCGAGAAAAAAGAGTGGGTTAGTTTGCATTCATAATTGATATGAATTGTTTTGATTTGTTAGTAGTGTGTGTGTGTGTGAATGTGAAGGACATAAATGGTAAACATAACGAAGGAAAATTAACTATTATAACAAATATTTTTTTGTTTAATTGGCCTCTATTAAATTAGTACAGCCACCAATGGCACCATCTTCACTATTTAGTTCGTCGTCTAACAATTCATCGGCTTCAGTTTCTAAATTCATGGATAAATCTTCTTTGGCCTCGATACCAACATCCTCACAAACTCCGCCCACAACTTCATCGAAATCCCGTAAGTCCAATTCGTGTAAAGCCTTTTGCACCAAGGCAGCCAATTCCGGTGGTAGATCTTTTAAGTCATCATTACGTTCCTGGACAATGGAATTGGGAAGAGGTAAAACCGTTCGCTTACTATCTTTGTTTTGTTGTATTATTGTTTTATCCGCCGCCGATCCTGATGTAGAAGATGCTGTTTTATACGCATACAATGCAGCATCAGTAAAATCAGTCAGATTCAAACCACCACTTCCAATAACATCATTATTAGTAATATCATATTCTGAGGATAAAATACTTCTACCCGATTCGGTGGATAACGAAGACATGCCATCGTCTGATTGTGTGGCCAATGGCATTTTCATGGATTCTTCATTTTCCGAAGACATAGTACCAGAATCTTCAGTTACATGACTTTCACCACCACATGAGGTTGTGCTACGGGCCGTTGTTGCTGATGATACGCCACCGCCAGCAGCAGCTTTAGTTTTAACATTTTCATCATTATCGGTTTTATCGGTTTTGGAATTGGCTGTTGCATCAACCATGGATGGACAATAACCTTTGAGAAGAAATTCAGACGGAGAGAAACCTTCATCATCATTTGAAGTTTCAATGCCAGCTAGGACTTTCATGCGCTGTTCCAATTCTGCTATTTTAGTAGCCAAAATCCTTGTGAAATAAAATTAGTTACAATTAGTAAATAATAAAAATTATTTCTTTAAATATTTACTTACTTATTGGTCTTCTTTTGATGATTCAATGCTAAATTTTTGTCATTCAAATTATCCAGCAGGGTCAGGCATAATGTTTTCAAATCTTGAATCGTCTCAGTTTTTGTTGGTAGGTCAATACCACTTTCCAATAAATTTTTAACTACAATAAGGTAAGTGAAATATTTTATTAAAAGAAGCAAGTCATTGTATCATAAATAAAAAAAAATTAAATAATATACTGAAAAATAAAGGAAATGAATACGCGGAAAATAAATTAATTAAAGGAAGCAGGGAATTGAAATAAAACCACACAACTAAATAAACAATTAGACAGAGGAAGAATAACAAAAAATAGTAATTTATCGTTTCCGTTTATCAAAATACCAAGATGATATATATAAACAGAATACCTAAGGCTTGATTCAATAAAATTAAAAGAAAAGTCTATATTGACCAAGGTTTACTTCATGGATATAAACCCAGTATAGTCTAAAACTGTATGCCCATAGAAGTCAATAAATAAGTCGGCGATTATAAACGATAGAAGTGTTATAAATATCATCGCTACCGGATCGAGAATATTGGGACAACGGTTAAAAGGCTCTTGGATCCAAAAGAAAAAGTATGATCGTACTTAGACGTCGTTTCCAAAAAGCAAAGTTGTGACCCATTTCACATCAAGTCATAAAATATGTGTGACGCTCTTTTCAGAGGTCTATCCGCTTTTTAATATCAATCCAATGTAGATATAAATAAAAAAGTAGGAAAATTAAAACGAGTTTAAAAAATAATAAAAAATTAGGAAAAAACAAGAAACAAAAATTTTCACAACATCGAATAAAAGAAAACAATTCTTTGGCATCCCATCATTACCTTGTTTATGTGACAGTATATTTTCATCGACATTAATGGGTGTTTGTGCACCCAATTTTATGATACCCTTTTTACGTTTTGCTTCCAACATGGTCTTATTTTTTATTTGTATTAAAGGATGAAACGTGTTAATATGAATCAATTGTTAGTATTTGATTGATTAGTTGGAATGTCATATTATTTACATGTTTTATGTGCAATTTACCTTATATTTACTAACAGCTTGTTTTGTTATTTCCACTTCACTTTCAATGTGTTTTAAACGTTCATTCAGGTACTTGTTCTCCAAAATGATACTGTCAATATCAAGGAACTGAAGTAAAAGAAAAAAATATTATAATAATTTGGTAATTTTTGCCGCTGAACACATCGACGCCTCCGAACCATAGTATGCTAAGTCGACTTACCATGTTTTAAAGTTTAGCATGGGACTTAAGATTTAAGAAATGTCCATACCAATATGTGGTAAGTACACTTAGCATATTTCGGCTTGGAACTTTTTGAATTATTTCGGATGGTAAGTAGACTTAGCATACTACTGTGTATACTTAAACGACTAATCAGAGTAGAAAGGTCCGTAACAAAACATGCTAATGCCATGTTCTGACGGGCATTCGAACAACGTAGTTCGCTCTCAGAATTACGTACATGAATTAACCCGTTCATACAACACTATTCCTAATTCATGTCATCAGAGTTTTTTATTTCAAACTTTTTGTTTCTTGTTTTACGCCAAAATTCTAACATATTTACATGAATCACATATGGATCTAAATAGAAAAATTAATTCTCTTTCTCCTGACTATAGTATGAACCCATATCTATTTACTTTTAATTCATGTTTTCCATTTTTTCTGAAAATATTGTTGTTTTCATACATTTTTATATTTTCTAAATTCAAATGTCACATAAGAAAATTTTGTTTTTTTGTTTGTTTCCCCAAATTTGTTTCTGGTTTTGTACGCTAATTAGAACCAAGGGGAAAGAAATTCATATTGCATTATGTAGATAACAAAATTTACATCCTGCTGCATATATAAAAACTAGACAATTTTTTACTTTTCATTCATCATTTTCAGTATTACTAAAATGTTTGAAAATTTTATAGATATTTTCAATCTGTCAAAATTAATTTATTTTCGATAAATGCTCTCAGTTGTTAGGGATGGGACAAATTTCTTGGTGATTCAGAGAGTGATTCGAATTGAACAACGTACAAAAGTCGGTGTTCGCTCAGACAATTTTGTATGGGGAACTAAGTAATTACTTCATAATTAAGGGTCGAACAACGAATGAGAGAGCGGACAACGCTCGTCTGTACATGGCATAAGTCGACTTAGCCGACTACTTATGAAATGTTTGTCCATGATAAAGTATTCTAATACCATGTACAGACGAGCGTTGTTCGCTCTCTCATTCGTTGTTCGACCCTTAATTATGAAGTAATTACTTAGTTCCCCATACAAAATTGTCTGAGCGAACACGGACTTTTGTACGTTGTTCAATTCGAATCACTCTCTGAATCACCAAGAATTTTGTCCCATCTCTAACAATTGAGAGAATTTATCGAAAATAAATTAATTTTGACAGGATGAAAAAATTTTGAAAATTTTCAAATTTTTTCAGTAAAATTGAAAATGATGAATGAAAAGTAACCAAAATTCTAGTTTTTATATATGCAGAAGGATGTAAATTTTGTTGTCTACATAATGTAATATGCATTTCTTTCCCCTTGGTTCTAATTAGCGTACAAAACGAGAAACACTAGTGGGGAAACCCAAACAAAAATTCTCCAATTTTTTAAATGTGACATTTGAGTTGAAAAAATATAAAAATGTATTGAAAACAACAATATTTTCAGAAAAAGTGGCAAACGTGAATTAAAAGTAAAGAGATAGGGGTTGATATTATAGTCAGGAGAAAGAGAATTATTTTTATACCCTTCACCACACTGTGGTACAGGGTATTATGTCTTTGTGCATATGTTTGTAACAGGCAAAAATAATCGAGATAGACCCATGGTTCCTTTTGAGAATATGCATAGAATCACTTTCTGAGTCGATTTATGCATGTCCGTCTGTCCGTCCGTCCGTCCGTCCGTCCGTCCATGTATTTTTGTTAACAAAGTACAGGTCGCATTTATGATCCGATTTGGATGAAATTTGGCACAGGTCACTTAATTGGCCCAAGGACGAACCCTATTGAAATTGGAGAAAATCGGTCCACGTTTAGGCATAGCTCCCATATAAGGGTACCCCAAAATTTTCGGTATTTTGAGGTTCTTGAGCGCGTTTTTAACTGAATTCGCTGAAATTTGGTACTTTGAGTTCTTATTGGGTAGTAAATCTCTATACAAAAATTATAAATAAAGGTCCATTTTTTCGGATAGCCCCCATATAAGATTACCCCCAATTTTCGGTATTTTGGGTGTTTTGGTCGCATTTTCCGACCGAATTCGCTGAAATTTGGTACTTTGTGTTCTTATTGGGTAGCAAATCTCCCTACCAAAAATTATAAATAACGGTCCATTTTTTCGCATAGCCCCCATATATGGGTATCCCCAAATTTTCGGTATTTTGAGGTTCTTGAGCGCGTTTTTAACTGAATTCGCTGAAATTTTGTACATTGAGTTCTTATTGGGTAGCAAATCTCCCTACCAAAAATTATAAATAAAGGTCCATTTTTTCGGATAGCCCCCATATAAGATTACCCCCAATTTTCGGTATTTTGGGGGTTTTGGGCTCGTTTTATAACTGAATTCGCTGAAATTTTGTACATTGGGTTCTTATTGGGTACCAAATTACTCCACTAAAAATTATAAATATAGGTCCAGTTTTTCTGGTAGTACCCATATAACGGTACCCCAAAATTTTTGGTATTTTGGGGGTTCTGATCGGATTTTTCGACCAAAATGACTGTAATTTAGTACGTCGACTTCTTATTAGGTAGCACATCTCTCCACTATAAATTATAAATATTGGTCAATTTTTTCTGGTAGCCCCCAGGTTTTGAGGTTCTTGAACCAAATTCTTTTTTCTGGTACAGGGTATTATGTTTTTGTGCATATGTTTGTAACATGCAAAAATAATCGAGATAGACCCATGGCTCCTTTTGAGAATATGCATAGAATCACGTTTTGAGTCGATTTAAGCACGAAATTTGGCACAGCGTAGCAAATTAGGTCTAGAATGATGTGTGTAAAGTTGCCTGAAAATCGGTTCAGATTTATATATAGCTCCCACATATACTTTCGTCAGATTTAATGTAAATGGTGCACCAAAGTCCCTATATATCTTTCGATTTGCACGAAATTTGGCACAGCGTAACAAATTAGGTCTAGAATGATGTGTGTTAAGTTTCCTCAAATCGGTTCAGATTTAGATATAGCTTCTATATCTGACCAAATGAACAATTTAGTATCGGTTGCAGAATGACGTGTTTATGGTTCCAATTTCATTTTACTGGTCCTTTAAAAATGCGACTTCTATTAGGATTCATCTGCTGAATATACTCAAAGTGGTGAAGGGTATCATATAGTCGGCCCCGTCCGACTTTACTACTTTCCTTACTGGTTTCTATTTAGATCCATATGTGATTCACGCAAATATGTTACAATTTTGGTGTAAAACAAGAAACAAAATGATTGAAATAAAAAAACTCTGATGACATGAATTAAGAATAGCGTTGTATGGACGGGTTAATTCATTTACGTAATTCTGAGAGCGAACTACGTTGTTCGAATGCCCGTCAGAACATGGCATAAGTCTGCTAGAAAAATGTCAGTAAAACACTCAATGTTCTATCTCACACCACTCCCGAGATAACGCCTGTAAACTTTGCGAGCTTCTCCTGAAAAACTCACTTTTCAGACTTAGCATACTATTCTTCGGAAGCGTCGACATGTTGTGCTTAGATTTCTTTTAATTTTAAAAGCTGAATGCCTGCCTGAGACTAGATATGTGTGATAGGAATACAAAATTATATTAATATTAATTTTATTATATAATATATTATGTATATGGTTTGTTGTGATCTGTTCCATTGCCATACTGCAACATTAATGTTAATTTGAAGCAAATGAAACGAAGATATATTCACTGTAATGCAAACAAAAACGTTTTGAAAAAGTAGTTTGTCGAAAAAATTAGAAAGGCATATTTCAATATGGCGAAATATGGTCAAAATATATTAAAGATCAGGGCTCAAAACTATATTCCATACATATTTCCAGTTTATATAAATCGGGTATAGCGGCTTAAAAAGCTGAACATCCTCACGTTTGAACGTTCTGGTTATTGAGTCATCAATTCGCTTCAAATAGGAATTGAGACGTTTGCACTATACTGATTTTAACTGTGCTAAGACGAATTCTGTAAGATTTAGGCAGTGGTTTCGCCTCTGCTGCTATGGTCTCCGAGTGTAACATTTATACTGTAGATGACTGCCGATTACATCTGAATGAATGTTTATGAATACCGTTGGACCTCTTCCTATAGATCGTGAACATCTCTGTTGACTTGCTTCTTGGACGGGAAAATAAATAGCATTAAAGTATGGGACTGACGTCGCGAGAATGACGCCTTCGAAAATCCGATTCTCATGTCTTAGGTCACTAACTTCCTAAGTGGCCTACATAACCTTGTGCGCATCAATGTTTTTACGGGTCTCGGCTGTATTTGAACGGAGACTTGTAGATACCTGGGCGCCTCAACAAGTTTTTTAGCTTAGATGCCAAGTTCTTAAGAGATCGAGATCATCTTCTTGTCAGCGCCCAAAGTGCTGCCGGCCAGCGACTTGAGGTCCTTTTTTTTCTTTCATCTTAATGCAAATATTAACAGCGCAATCTACTTGAAAATGGCCCACAAGATCAGCAAGACTAGACGTTTATTCACTCACATATGATGTTATAATAATTAATCCCCATACATTACGATCCTTGCGGAACTCCAATTTTCATTGTAGGGGTCGACTTTCTGTTTCTGAATTCCACATATAACTGGCGTTTACACATATAGTTGATTATCCAATGTTTAAATAAGGTCAGGGATTGTTCTTTATGCCCACTAACAATTTGGCATGGTGGTTGATATCGAAGGCTTTCGATAGGTCGAGATCTGGGCAACTGCATTTACAGTAATCCATGTTGACAATTTGCGTGAATAACGACAAGTTGAAGCCTGATCTATGTCAAAGTGTTTGGGTGTCATTTTCATTTTTAAAGATCGGATTTAATTACTTCACCTTTGCCAATTACCTTAAGTCTGCCAGATTTCGCCGAATGAATGTGTCCTACGTTTAATCGGTCGTTTTATTGACATGTCATGTAGCAAATATATGAAAACCTTGGTAGCAGCGCTCATCTTTTTTAACATGTTTCTGGAATCCTTTGGAAAATTTGTCCAATATCTTTATCTTTATAAACTAAAATATTTAAGGGCTGTCCTTTATATTTCCTCGAATTTTAAACCATTACTATGACCCTAATAGTTCAATTATTCCCTAATGAGTCGTACTATGGCTGATTTGACTTAGTTTAAATATTTCTCAGGCATCGAAAATTAACAAAAATGGTCCAAAGGACCCGTGAATAAGGAGACTACTGATTTGTTTAATTAAAAAACGAAAAAAGTTCGTAGCGTATTGAGTTCTACTCAAATCGTAGTTATGTACAAGTCTGTCGTCAGTCTCGTTTTACTTTATTGTTCCTGGGATCGTTTCGACCTAAATAATTCAATTATCCTTCAATAAGTCAAACTATGTTTGGAACTTCGATTAGATATAGTTTAAACATTTTTCAGGTATTCAAGTCCAAGAGAATTTTAATGGGGAGAAGACTGATTTATTTAAGATCTTACGACAATAATACGTAGCGTAATGTGTTCTACTGAAAGGAACCATTTCAAATAATTTTGGCCCACTTTGATTACCAGTAAAAACAATATTTGTTTCTCTTTTAAGAACACATAATAACCAACTTACCTTTGGATGATTTTCTTTTGCCTTCAATGCCACCTGTAATTCATGATTCAGCCGATGTGCCTTGCATTTATAAGCATCTCTTTCATTTGTCAACTCCTCCTTTTCATCAATGACGGCCTTTAAATCGAAAGCTAGTTGAGCATTCTGAAAAATACACAAAGAAATATAAAAAAAATTCTCAAATAAAAATATGTAAATGATTCCCCTCTTACTTTCTTCTTCAATTGTTCCAAATGGCATATGAAATTTGAGCGTTCTTGTTTCCACTGCAGCAACATTTCCTTTGAGCAGCTGTCAAGCACAATTTCCTCTTTGCTATTGCTACCCTTTCCATTGATGGTGGAATCTCTTTTACACTCTGAAGTGGATTTTTGATTTCTCAAGACTTCAATGTCACCCTGAACTTCGTATAACTTTTGTTTTAGCGCTTCCACTTCTGTGGTCAGTTTAATATTACGTTCCCGGGACTCGTGTAGAATCTTTGCCACATTGGTTTTGCCACCACCATTCGACATGCCAATACTAACATCACTGGCCAAATCTGAAAAACTGCTGTTGCGTCTCAAGGCCGCATAACGCAGCTGTAGTGTCTCAGCCATTAGCTTAAATTGATCCCGTTCGGTTCGGAATTTCTCCAATTCTTTACGGAGTATACGTAGCGCTTCCATTTTACTTTGAAGTTTTCGATGGAGAGCTGTTGTCTCTACGCTATAGTTTTCCATATGTTCCAAACCAAACATGTCGTCGTAGTTGTTGGTCGAAGCAGAAGATTGACCACCACCACCTCCTCCTACAACACTACTTATATCCAGTTGTTGTGAACGTTTTCGCTGTGTCCACATTGTTGTTTTCTTCAGTTTATATTGTCCCAATGACAGAGATTCGTCATCCGACATATTTTATGTTGTTTCTTGCATTTAATTTAGAATAAAAATCAACTTTTCAAAGCAAATAATCTGCAGAATTAATAATGAAAATGAACTTCGAACACACACTGAAAGAGTTTTTTCCTGCATTAAAGATGTATAGTTCGCGAACGAACAAGTTCAGATGAACGATTCACTTGAAAGAGCAAGTGAACTAGTTCAGTCGTTCTTTATAGTTCATTTGCATGGTACAATTATAAAAGGTAACAGCATGTCCCAGCTGATTTGATTCCAACGTAATACTAGTGTCAATATCAATTTGACAAATTATGTTTTTAAAAATCACCCAACAGGAAAATTGGGAACGCATACAATTTGAAATTTTTCTTTATTAAATATGCTCCCGTATTCAATTTACTTAATCTGCTTGCTGGGGAAATTTGAGGAAGCAAATCTTTCTTAATGGAATAACTCGCAATTCCCTGCATTTTCATATGTGTTACACATTTAAGTGGCAATGACTCAATTATAGGAAAGATGTGGAAGCGATATGAATATAAATTTGATAAATTTTCATTCATGTTTTTCAAATTTTATTTTAAGGATTCGAAAATATTTCATTTTCAAAATAAATATAATTTGTTTGTTTACCTTTTTCTGTCAAATGAAAGTGACACTAGTATAAGTATTGATTTAGATTAGGCGAGTTTACTTGGGGCAAGTCTTTGTTTGTAGAGAGAGGGGCAAGGGGAATAGAAATGAAAAAAAAATTGCTCGTACCGACAATTTTCTGGCAATTCGTTTTGTATATTTCGTATTTGTTGACATTTTATATAGATTTAAATGTGAAAAACAATAAATAGAAAAATATTTTGGAAACCGAATTGCCTTGTATAAACGCATGAAGCAAGTTCAAAAGAGAACGACAAGAATTGCCGCAAGTAAACTCGTCTAATCTAAATCAAGACTAACTTACAACAACAAATTTCCATGTGGTTGTTGTATCGTTTGTTGTACAACAACACTTGCTGTTACCTTCTATTAGTCCTGATTTATATTAGGCGAGTTTACTTGCGGCAATTATTATCGTTCCCTTTTGAACTTGCTCCATGCGTCTATACAAGGCAATTCGGTTTTGAAAATATTTCTTTTTTCATTTGATGTCAATAGTTTTTTCACATTTAAATAAATATAAAATGTCAACAAATACGTAATACACAAAACGAATTGCCAGAAAATTGTCGGTACGAGCAATTTTTTTCCATTTCTATTCCCCTTGCCCCTCTCTCCTACAGTCAAAAACTTGCCGCAAGTAAACTGGGACTTATTATATTATGGTTCATTTGTTATTTTCAGCTATCCGAACTATTTCATTGTTCGTTCAATCACAAACGTTTGACTTGGCCTAAACATAACACAATGACAAATCGCTTTCATATATTAAAACAACTAAAGAAAAAAAACCTTTAAAAATAAACTGAAAGAACGAACTAGTTCATTCATTAGAGCTGAACTAAAAAGAACGATCTTCTTAATGAACTAGAAAGTACAATGCAGAATCTGCATTACAAAGCCTACATGCAAAAGCGACGCCATAGTATTAGATATTACAAAACTTCATTATACAAACAACGTCGTAGAAGCAGAGGGAACTGAGGAAAATGCTGATAACTATCAGTAATCAAAACAAAAGACGAATTTCAATGGAAGCAGCTGAAAGTGTTGTTGTACGGACGATAACATAGTAATCGATAACAGACTGCTACATATGACTGGGAGAATGTGTGGCATTACCATTCATTTTGTTGTTCAAAAACGTCGTTATACTATGTTCTGTCGAGCATTCAAACAACGTAGTTCGCTCTCAGAATTACCTACATGAATTAACTCGTTCATACAACACAATTCTTAATTCATGTCATCAGAATTTTCTTTTTCAAATTTGTTGTTCCTCCTTTTACACCGAAATCTCAACTCTTATTCTCTTTCTCCAGCTATTTACTTTTCATCCATGTTTTCCATTTTTCTAAAAATGTCGTTTTTAAATTTTTTTATATTTTCTCAATTCAAAAGTCACATACTGTCGCTTATAAAAATTTGGAGAATATTTTGTTTGAGTTTCCCCACATTTGTTTCTTGTTTTGTACGCTAATTAGAACCAAGGGGAAAAATGCATATTTAGAACCTGCTGTATACATAAAAACTATACAATTTTTAACTTTTCATTCATCATTTTACCAAAAAAGTTTGAAAATTTTATAAATATTCTCAAGCTGTCAAAATTAATTTATTTTCTTTTTGCAAAATAGTCAGGCTTAATCCCAGTTTGTTGTTTTTGTAAAAAACAACTATTTATTAGTGGGGAATGTATGGCATTGTCCGCCGAGGGGTAAGGCAGGGAAGACCACTAATAAATAGTTGTTTTTTATGTCAATTCCTTTGCATATACGTCAAATAAATCCTCATAAAGTAGATTAACCCGGTAAAATGTTCTAATGTGATAAGGCATATGTAATTTGATAAGTTTTAACACCAAAATATGCTTCGTAAGTACTCATCAAACCTCTTAGTCATTGAACGGCGTGAAGAGCCATTCCCGACATTGGATATAGCAAAAGTAAAAAAACCTGTGTTATAGGAAAAAACTGCAAAATCAGGATAAGGACTTTACAACTAGACCAAACGTGGAACTGTGGTCGACTGGAAGCATGTGATCGGGTCCGACGAATCCAAATTCAACCGGCTTTAACATGTGGGTCCGGGAGCGATGTAAAAAAATTTGACAATATAATAATGAAAGAAGTCTATTGAGAGCATTGTAGAATCATATCAACCGGTCTTGGTAGAGAGGAACGCCACAAAATTTTCAATTAACACAGTGGTCAGCACAAAGTTTCGACATCAATCCGAAGGATAATTTGGGACCAATCGTAAAGAGAGAGGTGGAACAGTACCAATCAGCCCCTAATAATGGTGTTTTTGCACGATATGTATGTGCTGTCACTTATTTCATACATATGTGCTGTCACTTATTTCATCCATATGTGTGTCAAAATTAGCAGCGTACACAAAACTTTTATTTTTTGAGTTCAAATCGGCATATGTATTTTACGTATGACATAACCTATAAACAAAACCAGTAAGGAAAGTTCAAAAGTTGGACGGGGCCGACTATATGATACCCTTCACCACTATGGGTACATGCAAGACATGTTAATATCTACAATATCCTGTAGATATAGAAATTTCGCATACATCAGTGGGGACCTAATTTAGTACTCTGTGCAAAATATAGCATCAATTGAACCAATATTGGGAGTTTGGTGCACAATTTACTTTAAATCGGACGAAACTATATATGGGAGCTTTATCTAAATCTGACTCGATTTCAACAAAACCTCGCATTCATTAATCATGACCTAATTTAGTACGCTGTGCAAAATTTTGTCTCAATCGGATAAATATTGGCAGTATGTTGCTCCATTTACATAAAATCGGACGAAACTATATATAGCATATTTAGATATAAATCTGAACCGATTCCAACAAAATTTCTCATACATCAGTCGGGACCTAATTCAGTACTCTGTGTAAAATGTTGCTTTAGTCGGACCACTATTGGGAGTTTGGTGCACTATTTACATTAAATCGGTCGAAACTATACATCGGAGCTATATCTAAATATGAATCGATTTCAACAAACCTTGACATATAACTATCTAGACCTAATTCAATACTCTGTGCAAAATTTTGTATCAATCGGACCACAATTGGGAGTTTGATGCATCAATAAGTTAAAATGAGACAAAAATATATGGGAAATTACAAAAATCTTTTAAATTCCTTGAAGCTGAGGTTTGCAAGGTTATAACTCGCGAAATATGAACATATTGCATATAATTTAAATTCAATTCTATAAAATGAAGTGTTCTTATCAAAATCTTGAAATTTTGGTAATAAATAATAAGTTGCGTGGAAGCTGTGGAGGTGGTAATGTAAAAAAATGGGTAAAAATGTGTTGAAGCCAACGAGTTTTTTTGTGTTCGTTCCCGATTTGTGGCTAAACTACACAATGCACGCACATGTGATCAGTGACTAAGTTGCAGAATACCCCATGGACAATATGGTTCTAATGTATGATTTTTCGATATAATCACTGCATCCACCCAAAATGGATGCTGACATTTTGAAGCCGGATTTTCGGTGTTTTTTGAATTTTTCTTATAATTAGGATGCGCATCCAGATAATAGAATAAACTAATTATAGGATCGTAGAACTTGTGATTCTGCTTCGTTTAGTGTATATCTCATGAATGTGCTCACTGTAGCTTCTTTGCAATTGGGTTCCAAAGACGAAAATTTGGTGCGTAAATTTTTATAAAAAACATATTTTTTGAGTCTTAAATTAAGAAAGTCCATTCAAATTCCGTGGAACCCCGCGTGATTTTAGTTTTTTTACGTGGCGGATCTAATGAGCCCATCCATGTTGAATTCCGTCCAATAAAACGGCGGATATAGGTACCTTGAATGTGGGAAAAACTGCAAAAACTTATTTTGACAAATTCGCGTAAATAATCGCAGTTTTCTTCGAATTAATTTTACATTCATTTATGCTTGTATTGTCAAATTCGCGAATCTGTGTGGAAATAGGTCAAAAATACATCGATACGCGAATAATATGCATATTTTATCCAAAATTGATTGTGGAGGCACATCCGCGGTTCTTAACCGATCCTTTTAAAATAGGTGTCCTTTTGCGTATTTTCATAGGAGATTACTAAAATCGGATGCGCATAAAAATCGTATGCACGTTGCGTGATTTTTAGCCATTTTTAGGGTTTTTGCATAGTAAAGTGCATCGAGTGGCACACTTTGACCGCTAAATTAAACATTAAAAAATTAATAATTATTGAAAGACATTGATAAGGTTTATACGAAAATCGCATGCGCATCAACTGATTTCAACTAATTCGCGAATTGCAAGCTTTTCAATATTGATAATTTTTATGTATTGTAAGTGCAATATATTTAGCCATTAATGA